TTTTTGGGTAAGTTTCAGTGTCTTAAACCATGAGATTCTCGAAAATAGACTCCTTTCATTTGTGGGTTTTGTGAAGGACAAGTTATTTGAGGTTATGTGGTTCTTGGTTGAAGAAAAAGAAAGAAAAAGAGAGAAAGAGGATGGAAGAAAGGAAGAAAATTCGTGGGTTTTGGAGAAGAAAGAAGAAGATGAATAGTTTTTGGGAAGAGAGAGAGATGAATTTTTTAATAGAATTTAATTGAGAAAAGTAAAAATGAATGGGTAAAAGAAAGGGGAAATCACGTGAGAAGGTGAAAGGAAAGAGAAATTCAATAGGTTTTGGTGGGACCCACTTGTAAATGGTATGAGAGAGAAAAATGATGGGTTGTTAATGAAGAGGGACAATGAATTATAAAATTGGATTTATGTGGATTAATTTGGAAGATAATGTAATTTCAATTGGAAACAAAAATATGTTAAAGTTAAATTGGATTAAAGCATGAATTAATTTGGTATTGAATCGATATTTCAAGTTGAGCAGAAATTGGAACGGAGGACGACCGAGTTTGAAGGATTAGTGAGTGGTTACTTTACTAAATGTTTTGGTTATTATTGACTTGTGAGTGGTTATTTTATTAAATGGTTTTAGATACCTATTGATATAAAATTTATGAGAAATTATATATTAGGTATGATTTAGCATTTCTGCTAAGAATGAAAGAAAATGTGTTTGTTCGAGAATTTAGAAATGTTTTTGAGAATTTAGAAATGTTTTATGATTTAGAGAAATATTTGAAGAAAGATATGAAATATTATTTAGAAAGAGATTTCAGAAAATGATTTTAGAATTTCATGAAATGTTCTTAGAAAGAAAGATTTTAGAAATCATTTGAGAAAGAAAGAAAAGTTCTTAGAAAGAAGGAAAGAAGAATTTCAGAACAGTCCATGAGATTGAGAAAGAAGTTTTCAAACCACCATGTTATTGTATCCAGGTGATTACCCGTATGCTATGTGAATGTGTTTCTATAGTATACCCAGAA